GACTAAAATGGCTTTTGGCCATCTGACATTTTGTATCATTGTTTGGGGCTTAATGGCATAGCACTGTCCCAGTTTTGCCTCAGGGCCAGCTCTGTTGTCCAGTGGGATAATGGTCCAAATATAGCCTTCTGCTGCCCTAAAATCCTTCAAAAGAAATGACAGAAATTGGCCCAATAAAAGGTATTACCTGAGCCACCTTGTCTTGCTCAGATCCTGGCATCCACACGGCTACTACAACACTGCAAACAAAGTCTGGCAATGCAGTTTGTTTTTCACTGTTTGAAAGAAGACGCTTTTCCTTTCCAGGTCAGGGACAAGTTGTAAAGGGATAATTAGTTTTTCCTTCACAGTTTAACTGTCTAGTTTATTGTCCAATTCATATTTCATACAGTATTAATTACATTATGAAACAGCTCTATCATCGACATAGCTCCGTATTAACCACTGGGTGAGATTACAAATAATTTTCTGTCAGTTACAGTTTGATTATGGAGCCTAGACATAATGTAACAGGAAAGGTTCCACAGTATTTGTGTGGGAAGTTAATAAAACATAATTCAATACTACCCAGACATTTAATTGTCTCATGATAAATTAACTCTGCTTTCTGGAGAGGACTAGACTCTGGACTAAAAGAGAAGAACACCAAGTGCTAGGGCAGGGGCAGGCAAACATTTTGGCCCGAGGGCCACATTGGGTTTCTGAAATTGTATGGAGGGCTGGTTAGGGGAGGCTGTGCCTCCCCAAACAGCCAGGCATGGCCCGGCCCCCATTCCCTATCTGACCCCCCCGGCTTCTCGCCCCCTGACTGCCCCCCCAGGACCCCTGCCCCATCCAAACACCCCTTCTCCCTGACCGCCCCCAGAATCTCTGCCCCTGACTGCCCCCCCCCCCCGCTACCCCATCCAACTCCCCCTCTCCTTCCTGACTGCTCCCCGGGACCCCTGCCCCCCATTTAACCCCCCTGTTACCGCCCTCTGACCGCCCTGCCCCCTATCCACACCCCCGTCCCCTGACCACCACCCTGAACTCCCCTGCCCTCTATCCTGCCCCCTTACCAGGCTGCCTGGATCACCGGTGGCTGGCGGTGCTACAGCCGCGCAGCCCAGAGCACCAGGACAGGCAACCGCACCGCCTGGCTGGAGCCAGCCACACCACCGCGCAGCACAGAGCACCGGGTCAGGCTGCAGCTCTGCAGCTGTGCTGCCCGGCAAGAGCTTGCAGCCCCGCCACCCAGAGCATTGCGCTGGCTGCGCAGTGAACTGAGGCTGTGGGGGAAGGGGAACAGCAGGGGAGGGGCCGGGGGCTAGCCTCCCAGGCCAGGAGCTCAGGGGCCAGGCAGCAGGCAGCTATAGTTTGCCCACCTCTGTGCTAGGGCAATGAGTGAAATAGATACAAAAAAGAAGGTAGTGTTTACACAATAATAGGACACATAATAATAATAATATTTTGCATTACTGTAGCATTTGCCATTTGAGTATCTCAACTGCTTTAAAAACATTAATGTTCAAGGGCCTGGTCTAAAACCCAGTAAAGTCATTGAGAATCTTTCCACTGACGTTAATGGGCTTTGGATCAAGCCCAAAGTCCCCCAACATGCCTGTGAGGAGGGTAGATACCATCATCATTTTGAACTAGCGGTGATGAGGTAGGGGAACAAATTTCATCACTTCCACTCCTGGGCTTCACCTTCTCAACCATCCTTCATCTTCTAATCATGCCATAGAATTATCTGATAGCAACACAAGATTCTGAGAGGGTGAAATAGATAACATTTTTGAGAGAGTGATGAAAAGTAAGAGTCTAGCTTCTGACTTTCATTGGCAGTTAAAAAAAAGAAGCAGCATCTTGCAGTAGGTCAGTTTTTACTGCTTCACTTTTAAATGCACTCAGTTTCCTAGTGAGTGTCACAGGACTGAATCTCAGCTCCTGATGGGCTCCTAAACTATGGCAGACTCTTGTCAGATGGTTTGGAGGAGGTGACATCCATACACAAACAGAGATCACACAGTCTTGACCCCTGTCTTTCCACAGCCAGGCTCCAAGCAACACCAGCGCTTCTCAATAAAGCAGGAGTAGGAGAGGAATGATTTAAAGCAGACTTAAGATAGGTCTTCTACATCAGAGGTTCTCAAACTATGGTCCGTGGACCACCAGTGGTCCGCGAGCTCGATTCAGGTGTCCGCGGATAGTTCCCTCTAAGGTGCGTGCCTGGGCGGCTGCACACAAGAGAATGAAGGGCCACCCACCTAATTGGTGGATCTGCACAGGCATGGCTCCACTAATTAGGTGCCTGGACCCTTGAGAAGATGCACATGTAAGGTGAGGTGGTGGCCTTGGGGGGAATAGGGGGTAGGTGGGAGGGGGCAGTGGGGATGAGAAGAGGGGTAGGGGGCATTTGGGATGTGCAGGGCTGTGGTGGCCAGAGAAAGAAGCGACTTTCCCCAGCTCCAGGGCTGCGGCTGCTGGGGAGAGACCCCCCTCCTTCCCAGCCTCAGCTCTGTGGCTGCTGTGGTGAGAGAGACCCCCCACACACACACACTCCTTCCCAGCCCCAGCTTGGGGAGAGAGGGCACATCCATCGCATTAGAAAGGTAAGACTACTGATATTAAAATATGAGTTGTGTGCTTTATTTGTAGAACAAAAAACCATTAATTATTAAAGGTTTTTTTAATATAGCACTTTTATCCAAAGCACTTTACAATAGTTAGTTAATGGTACAAACAACATTTGGAAAGATCATTAAGTGGTCCGCCGAGACTCTCAGCAATTTTCAAGTGATCCACGAAAAAAGAAGTTTGAGAACCACTGTTCTACACTTTAACCACTACAGCAGCATAGCTGCAGCTTGTAGCCCTAAGGATTAATCTGATTGTCTGTATAAATATATATTTCTTATAAAATAAGTATTTGATGTATTGGATTTATAGATTTATATTAAAAGTAAGTTTAGCTGTAATGCAAGAGACCTACCTACAGGTTAAACTCTGTATGTTAAAGCTAATGCGTAGTTAACAACTTTTGAGACCCTTCCCAGGAAAAAGTGAAATTAGGCCAAACACCCACGCAGATGTCTAGAGACCTTTACCTAGACCAATAGTAAAATGGGGTGTAAAATGAGGGGTTTTTCCCACATTCTAACATATTTACCACAAGTGCGTACATACCTGTCATTCATACGCACATGCATACTAGCCTATGGGTAAGTGTACCCTAACATTTCCGTGGGGGAAGAATGAAATATGGGCATAGGAGGGAGGATTTCCAATTAAATACCTTATAAAAAGGCAGGCAGTTTGCCATTAGACAGGCAATCTACCCATCTACCTACTCCTGTCTACTCTTCATTGCCTCCACCTTTCAACTACGTATCGATACTACTTATCTTCCACACGACTATTAACTATTGATAGGTCGTTCTTCATTCTTTTCAAGACTGTAAGTTAAGAAGGGATTTAATCTCATTTACATTTTATTTAGATAAGGCATATAGAGTTAAGTTAGAAAGCAAGTCACTTTGCAGTAGCTTTCTTTACTAGAAGTGTGAAAAATGCCCAAGGTGTTGCCAGCACCAGATTATTATCAAGAACAGGGTGTGAGTATTAATCCATTTTGCAGTGTATAGCCTTATATTCTCTTAAAGAATTGTGATACAAGTGTAACTCTGTAATTCTAACTGTTTTACCATTGACTTACTATCTTCATTGATTTTAATAAAAAGTCTTTATGACTACATCTGTTTCTGTGTAAACTTCCTGTCACAACCCCGAATTTCCTTTTTAAACTCTGTGAAGCCTGATTCAGGACGAACTCTATCTTCTGACTAAACAAATTGGCGAGCCAAATACCCATGCTAATTAATATTCACAATAATTATTAAACTATTTAAAATTAATAAAATTAATTAATTAATCAAAGAAAATAAAATTAAGTGGATAAATTAAATCAACGCTACTAACCTACCCCAAATCAGACTACAAGCTGCACCGCTGTAGCACTTCAGTGTAGACACTCGTTACAGCAACAGGTTTTTATCCCATCGCTGTAGTTAATCCACTTCCCTGAGAGCTGGTAGCTAGGGAAACGGAAGAATTCTTCCATCAGCCTAGCACTGTCTATTCTGGGGGTTAGGTTGAGTGTGGATTTTCACACCCTGAGCGATGTAGCTGGGCAGACCTGGCTGTAGGGGGGGCCAAGGTCTGGCTCTGTGTTCTGTATCTTATAGTTTGCAATACATCAGCAATTAAATCATGTTTGCAAACCTGAGGCGTTTTGCTGTTCAAAGGGCCTGTACACAGTTAACATATCCAAATGTTTAAAATAAAAAAAACTATAGTTCATTGGGGGTGGGGGAAACCTCATAGGAATTACCATACTAATCAGACCACGGTTCCATCTAGTCCTATGTTCCGTCTCTGACAGTGCTCAGTATCAGATGCTTCAGAAACCCCATTGTGGACAATTATGGAACAATATGCATATGTGTTTAATAAAGGCTAGTGGACTAGTTCCATTTTTCAATTATATAAATATTCTCATGCATTTACCGAAAATCATCCTAACATATTGAATTTTCTCCTGTGCAGTACATAGGATAGACATTACCAGGTGGCATGTATTTTAGAATTACTTATGGTTGTTGTGTCTTTTTGTTTGATTGATTGATTGATTTTTGTTATCTTGGGTTTTTTTCCAGGAGGGGGGGAATTGTTAGTTTGGTTGTTTTTTTGCATATTTTAAATAAATTGTAAACTGCTCTGTTGCAATATAAAATATTAATGATTGTTTTAAGGAGTCACTAATCTAAAATAATCTGCTAGAGGATGACTGAGTAATGGATCAGTCTAAGTACTGTTACAATGAGCATTTTTGTATGAATTCCAATCTCTTACAGTGTTTACTTGTGATTTCTATTCCAGAGGAAAACAGTTTCCTCTATCCTTTTGAGTGCATTTTAGCCTCAGGGGTTATTTTTTTTAAATTCTTTTCTTTTTTGCAGGTCCTGCAATTCCTGTGGGAGTAGATGTACAAGTTGAGAGTCTGGATAGTATTTCAGAGGTGGATATGGTACGTGTCTGTCTGACAACTTATGTAAATGATCTCAAACTACTGTTCCACCACTGTAATGTCAGGCAGAACAGAAGAAGAAGGAATGACTGCTAAGATTATATACTCTTTTCTGTAGAACTTTTGTTATTCTCGAGAACAATACTGTGCTCCCACAAAACCAAGGATTTTGGTTGCTATTCGAAAGTGCTTCTTAATAAGTGATGGAGGTTGGTGATTTGAAACTGTTAACAAAAACCACAAGTATGTCAGCTTTATAGCACAGCTCTTTATCATGAGGTAGAACCGTAGCGAGTACTGAAACACCTGCAATTTCAATGCTACCACACGAGGCAGGTCATCCATTAGGAAAGGGATCTGAATAGAAAGAGCATGTGTGAAGATGCAGCTTATCTAGAATCTGCCTTCTGTGGAGGTGAAATTCACTTGAGCCGAGGGTCAACAGGAGACTTGTGCCCCATTTTGGTCCCTCTTAATTCTTTAAAATAAACCTTAAGTAGGAGGCACATGACACACAGGACCTGTGCTGTCTGGCTGCATAGGGTTTAATTTTACTCTAGTCTCTATACCTTTGAATTCCTACCCACTGCCCACAGGGAGATAAGTTAATTCTGCACATTTTAAAGCTTTACAAAATTCTGTGGAGTTATGTATAATTTGCCCCAGTTGCTCACTTTTCATCACAAAATACCCTTGGAAATTAGGCGATTTTCTGAGGAGTTATTTTAAATAAAGTATACATAATGATACACCTATGGACAGTTCAAGACAAGAGGAGATAAAAATCAGAGCTAGAGATTAGCTCAAAGTGCAACATTAGCATTTGGATCAAGATTTTGAATCTTGCCAAAATTCAGGGCTTTTCAGGCCCATCTAGTTAGATCTTTGCAGGTTCTGGAAAGAAAAGCTTTTCAACCCTGTTAAGCTTGTTTTCATTTCTTAGAAAATAATTCATTTGACTAAAGGAAAAAAATAGTTCCAAAATGTTTCAATATTCTGAAAGGTGGAGTTTCAGTCAAGGGGGATGCTTCACCCATCTCTTGGGTTGACAGACAGAAAAAAGAAACATCCAACTTCTTAATAGAATTTCTTATGCTTCAGGATTTCTGATAATCATGAAGGGTTTTTATGGTTTTTTTTTTAACAAGTCATTTAGCTTTCTCCCCACCTTGGCCCTTGCAGCATTGCCAGTTCTCACTATATTTGGTTGTGTTGGTGTTAAAGCCCCAGCTCCTGGAATCAAGTGATTACATAATAATCTCAGCTTTCATTTTTCTAAAAAGGTACGTTTCTAGCCCTCATAGTTGATGAGAAATCTTGAATATCTGACCAGATTGCACCCTAAAGTCTCAAAATCGAGAAGGCAAACAAAAACAGTGCTGCATTTATTCATGTTGTTTGCAGTGTTAGTGTAGCCAAATTGGTCCCAGGATATTTGAAAGACAAATTGAGTGAAGTAATATCTTTTATTGGATCAACTTCTGTTGGTGAGAGAGACAAGCTTTCAAGCTTACATAGAACTCTTCTTTGACCTGACTTGCATATATAAAAACAGAACATTGCAAGAACATTGTTTTTGAATTAGACATCAATTTGAGTTTGCACTAGATTTATGCCATGGGAGACAAATTAAGTTTTATTTCTCTCCTGAATTCAGATTTTTTTTTTTTACTATAAAGTGGGGAAAAAAGAAGACATTTTGAAACTCTTTAGGATGTCACAATTCAGAAGCTTTGTCCAATTCACTCCAAATTGTGCAGGAAAATACCCTACTTCGGGCCCTGATTTGGAGACTAATTTGGCTTTGTTGTGAGTTTGTTTCATTTGAGAGGGTTCGGGGTAGGGGGAGGGTGTCAGTCAAAATCAGGCTGTAATAAAACTTAGAAACTCAGTTGAATCCATAACTGCAGAGAATCACTCCGTAACAATTAATACATATTTTGCAGCATCTACAAATGTATCCATTTATTCAAAAAACTTTGGGAGTTAGCTCCTGTCTGAAAAATGAACATTTGTTAATACATTATTGCTAAAATGAGATCTGAGCCTTATTAAGGGTTAAAGAAAAAAAGTTTTCTTAGATCCATTTTCTTAAAGCATATATAGGAAAAAGACCTGAACTATAGCTTCTTAGATGAGAATGGATCAAAAGATGAAGGAAGAGCTTCGTACAGGGTTACGAGGGACAGGAATGTCAAATTGATGTATTGTGTGTAAAACATTTCATAAGTTATAGTGGTCCTCAGTATAACTTAATAGCATAAGAAATAATTAATAATCTCTATTGGAGTTACTAAAGGAAAACAGATTAAAAACAGGTTTTGATTCTAGATTCATAGATTCTAGGACTGGAAGGGACCTCGAGAGGTCATCGAGCCCAGTCCCCTGCCCACATGGCAGGACCAAATACTGTCTAGACCATCCCTGATAGACATTTATCTAACCTACTCTTAAATATCTCCAGAGATGGAGATTCCACAACCTCCCTAGGCAATTTATTCCAATGTTTAACCACCCTGACAGTTAGGAACTTTTTCCTAATGTCCAACCTAGACCTGCCTTGCTGCAGTTTAAGCCCATTGCTTCTTGTTCTATCTTTAGAGGCTAAGGTGAACAAGTTTTCTCCCTCCTCCTTATGACACCCTTTTAGATACCTGAAAACTGCTATCATGTCCCCTCTCAGTCTTCTCTTTTCCAAACTAAACAAACCCAATTCTTTCAGCCTTCCTTCATAGGTCATGTTCTCAAGACCTTTAATCATTCTTGTTGCTCTTCTCTGGACCCGCTCCAATTTCTCCACATCTTTCTTGAAATGCAGTGCCCAGAACTGGACACAATACTCCAGCTGAGGCCTAACCAGAGCAGAGTAGAGCGGAAGAATGACTTCTCGTGTCTTGCTTACGACACAGCTGTTAATACATCCCAGAATCATGTTTGCTTTTTTTGCAACAGCATCACACTGTTGACTCATATTTAGCTTGTGGTCCACTATAACCCCTAGATCCCTTTCTGCCGTACTCCTTCCTAGACAGTCTCTTCCCATTCTGTATGTGTGAAACTGATTTTTCCTTCCTAAGTGGAGCACTTTGCATTTGTCTTTGTTAAACTTCATCCTGTTTAACTCAGACCGTTTCTCCAATTTGTCCAGACCATTTTGAATTATGACCCTGTCCTCCAAAGCAGTTGCAATCCCTCCCAGTTTGGTATCATCCGCAAACTTAATAAGCATACTTTCTATGCCAATATCTAAGTCGTTAATGAAGATATTGAACAGAGCCGGTCCCAAAACAGACCCCTGCGGAACCCCACTGCCTTTCCAGCAGGATTGGGAACCATTAATAACAACTCTCTGAGTACAGTTATCCAGCCAGTTATGCACCCACCTTATAGTAGCCCCATCTAAATTGTATTTGACTAGTTTATCGATAAGAATATCATGCGAGACCATATCAAATGCCTTACTAAAGTCTAGGTATACCACATCCACAGCTTCTCCCTTATCTG